AAATTATAATTATTCTGAATAAGTTTACACTTATTCCACCTTGGGCCTTGTTGAATGCTGCCTGTCCAATCCCCAAGCCTTTTGTCTCTCCTGGTTCTTTCATTTCTGCAAAGGGCCACAGCCTGTTCTCCCAATTTCTACTTAAGTGATTCATGTGCAAATTCAGCATCATTCAACACTTATTAACACTTCCACTGGTGGCACCTGAATATTCCTCCATACTAAACTGCTATATGGCTATTTCTGAGGAAGTGGATTTTTTTTGTGGAACAAGTGTTCAGATGCAGCAGACAAGAAAAGTTAGGAGGGAGAGAACTGGATTTTATAAGCTAAGAGCCTTACCAGGTAAAAAATAAAATAAACTGGACCTAATAAGCAAAAAGGAATTCTACAAAGGCAAAGAGATATAAAAAGGCCCTGTGTATTTGGAGAATTATAAGGAGTTGGATATTGCTTAAGTTAAAAATGTGCAGTATGGATTTTATAGTTTTCAGGCCTCCAGCAAACAGCAAGAACAAAATAGGAATGTAAAGTCCATGTTCAAAGAATGTAGGAGACCCCTGTAATCCCAGTCACCATATATGAAGACAGAAAACAGAAGCAAGAATGGCAAAGGACATAGCACAGCATGGGAGGAAGGGATACTAGTGGCAAGCAAACCAATTCACCCTGTACAACCCACAAAAAGCCCAGGTTTGGAGGTACTAGGTATCATGGGAAGCAGGGTAGAATATTGAACATAGGGGGATTGTTTGAAAGTTTATAAAGGAATAGTTACAGACATTTCAGTTCTACTCCACCAACTCAGAAAATCATCCCTCCTTCACCCTGCTGAAGGCGGGAAGCAGAGGGTGTAGTAAAGGACTAAAAATTGAGTAAAAGTCTACATTCTGAATGAAAAGGGCACCAGACCCTTTCCCCTGCCCAGGTCACCAGAAATCAGACTTAACTTCTAGCTCCCAGCCCCCACTGTTGATAAAGAATACTTTTCTGGAGATTAGAAATCCCATCTAACCACATGATAGCCTTACAGCAAAGCCCACTAACTGGTAAGTTTCCTCTTAGCTTTTTAAAGCCTCACTTTAAAACAACTTTACCAATGTATAATTTGTGTACATATTACATATTAAGTGTGTACAGTTCAATGAGATTTAACGTGAACCATGTAATCACTACCCTAAAAAAGAATGTTTTCATCATCCTAAAACTTTCCTTGGGCCCTTTCCCAATCAAGTCCCTTAACCCTCCATATCTGACAATCACTGATTAGATTTCTATTACTATAGATTAATTTTGCCAGTCCAAGACCTTCATATAATAGTAGTCATACCATATTGTACACTTTGGGTTGTCTCACTTTACACAATGGTTTTGAGATTCATCCACTTTACTGCATGTATGTATCAGTTGTACATATATATTTTTACTACTGGTGATATTCCACTGTATTGATACACCAAAATTTGTCTTATTTATTCACCAACTGATAGACATTTGAATAGTATCTAGTTTGGGCTATTATGAATTAAAGCTGCTATGAACATTCAAGTAAAAGTATTTTTGTGGATATGTGTTCATTTCTTTCTATTAATAACAAAGGAATTACTGAGTCATGATAAGTGTACATTAAAAATTTTTTAAACCTATAAAACTGTTTTCCAAAGTGGTTCTACCATTTTACATTCTTAGCACACTTGGGAGCTATAGTGGCTCTATATCGATTTGGATACTTGTCAGTTCCTTTAGTTTTAGTCATTTTAGTGGGTAAGAAATAGTATCCCAATGTGACTTTAATTTGCATTTCCTTGATAACTAATGATGAGTTTTTTTCATATGCTTATTAGCAATTCACATATGTGTAAGGTTGGAGGCACTGGAGAGAGGGGTGAGCACGTTGGACACTGATGACGTGCCAAAGTCCCTGGCTGCTGCCCCCTCCCAACCTGAAAAAGGTGCCTTAGACTAGCCAATCCTCGCAACGCTGTAAACCTATGCTCTCCCTCCCCCTACCTTCTTTAAAAGCTCACTGCCTGCCCTGCTGGGTGTGACTTCCCCAGCCTGTGATAACCAGACCAGAGAACATCACCTAGGAATTGCGCTCAAATAAACTACCTAGCCCTTTCTTGCCTCTCTTCGCCTGCTTATTTCAGCTAAAATTTATCTTACAATATGTACCTTCTTTTGTGAAATGTCTATTCAAATCTTTTGGGTTGTCTTTGATTATTGAGTTTTAAAAGCTTATTTAAATACTTTAGATACAGGTATTATTTTCTCCTGGTCCATGGCTTCTCTTCCTATTTTCTTAGCAGTAGCCTTTGAAGAGAAGGTTTTAATCTTACTAATTTCTATTAATCCAATTAGTCAATTTTTCTTTCATAGTCAATATATTTTTATCCTGCCTTAAGATCTTTGTCTATGCCAAGGTCATAAAAATTTTCTCTTAAGTTTTTTATTTTTGGTGGTTCTATTGTTTTAACTTCTTTGTTTAGGTCTATGATCTATTTTGAATTAATTTTCATATATGGAATGAGGCTGAGTTTGAAGGTCATACAGCCCCATTTGTTCAAAAGACTATCCTGTTCCCACTGAATTATGTTGGAGGTTTTGTTGAAAATAAATGACCATATACATAGGCTTATTTCTGGATTCTTTATTCTTTATATACAGCAATACCCTCTGTGTTAATTAATGTAGCTTTATAGTAAATCTTAGTGATGATTTTTTCCTTTTTCAGAATTATTTTGAGTATTCCGTGTCTTTTAAATTCCATGTCAATGTTAGAACCCACCTGCCAATTTTCACAAGGAAAACCTGCTGGGATTTTGATTGGAATTTCATTGAATCTAAATCTCCATTTGGTAACAATGCAGATAATAGTATCAAGTCTTTGATCCATGCAAACTGTGAACAGTGTATCTCTCCATTTATTTAGAAGTCCTTCAGTTTTAGCAATGTTTAATTCAGCATTAAATTTATTCCCAAGTATTTCATGTTTTTTAATGCTAATGCAAATGGTTCTGTTATTTTAATTTAATTTTCCATGTGTTTCTTGCTGGTTTAGAATTACAGTGATTTATGTATATTGACCTTGTCACCGCCACTTTGCTAAATTCACTTATTAATTATAGTATTTTTTAGGTAAATACCTTGGGATTTTTTATATAGACAATTTTGTTGTCTGAATATAGGGAAGTTTTACTTTTCCCTTTTCAATATTTATTGCCTTATAGCCTATTGCATTTAGGATCTCTAGAACAGTATTGAATAGAAGGTCATGAGGTCAGAAATCCTTGCTTTGTTCACCTTGTATTTTTAGGGAAAAGTATTCAGTCTTTCACTATTAAGTATAATGATAGCTGCAGCTTTTTTGGTAGATATCCTTTATTTATTTAGATTTGGTAGATATCCTTTATATTATTTAGATTGAGAAAGTTTCCTCTATTTCTAGTTGGTTGAGTTTTAAAAAACTCATATGGTTAATTTTTGTCAAATATTTATTCTGCTTCTATTGAAATGATTACATAATTTTTACCTTTATTTTGTTAATGTGGTGAAAGAGGGGTGAGATAACTTAAATTCATATTAGGAAGGCAAGATGTAATGTTTAAAATGAATAATGAATTTGTAATATATATGCATCTATAAATATGGAAGCAAACAATGGAAGAAATAGCTACGAGAAAATTGACAGCAGTTGTCTCTGTGGAGCAGGTCTACTTAGGAATGGAAACTGGTATTTTTTAAAACCTTTAAGCATTATCACTTTAAATATGAGAATTAATATATAATATTTGAAAACACATTTTAAAAATTAAAAATGCATTCTAGGGAGATGTGAAGATAAGGTTGGGTGGGGGCAAGGGTGTAGGGGAGATATCAGGCACAGGTTGCTTTGGGGGGCATCCAAAATGAGATATTCCCCATGCAGATGGCTATACTGAGTGGTAAAAGACAGGAGTAGAAGATAAAAGATTTGGGAGTAAGCATCAGATAAAGGTTTTAAAGCCACAAGGAGTGTGTAAGACAACATGTAATGCATAGCATGAGAAAAGGGTCAAGGACAAAACTGTGAGGAAGGATGGCATGTATAAGGTGAGGAGGAGGATGCAAGGAAGGAGATAGAGAATGAATTTTCAAAGGGCAGGAAGAGAACCAGACAAATATGACATGGAAGTCAAAGAAGGAAAGTGTCTCATTTTTCCAATATGCTGAATTCCAAAAATGTGTACCAACAAACATTGGAGTTATACTTTTATGGATGTTTCTACCTGATTTCATGAAGTTTAGGAAGTTAAAAAAACCTTAAACAACATAAATGTAATGATGGAAAATAGAGAATGGTGTTACACATATTTTTTTATGTTGCTATTTATGTGTTCTATTTCAGGAAACATCTGGAGCAAAGAGGATGAGGTAAAGAATTTCCACTGCTTATTTCAACTGATGAAAAGGTTCAAGAAGAAAATGATCAACATAAATTGTGGATCCAAGAGCAAACTGGCTGAATATCCATGTCACTTAGATGGGACATTTGAGGACTACCAAGAGGAATAATTGTAGAAAAGTGCCTAAAAATGTTTTTATTTAACAGAGTACACAAGGTGTGATGATTCAGAAGTAGTGAGTCATTCTGAAATAATAAAACTATTAGTTTGCCTGGAAAACACAGGCACTCTTTGGTGGATGACTCAGTATGGAAACTGATTCCAAGAGAACAATTTAGAGGAATATAAAAACATATACATTGAATTACTTGTAAGATAAAAAAGAAGACCTGGAACATTTGCTGTGTTCACTTCAAAAATAGTTCAGAAGATAAATTAAGAAATCTATTAGAATGGAAGATTTTTCTGAGGCTCAAAGAAATTACATACATGAAAGAACAATTAATGCTTTAGGTTTAGGGTTAATGCCTTAATGAGACTAAAAGAAAAATAAGAACATCTCAGCAGCGTGCCCAACTTGAGCATATGGGAATGAGGAAGTGCTTAAAAACTTACTTTTATTTTTACTGAAGTGGTGAAGCAGGAAGAAATGTGGCTGAGGGGAAAAGCACCAGGTGGGCAGTCAGGAGCTCCTCATTCAGCTTCTGCTTCTGCACTGACCAGCTTAGTAAGTTGGTCAAGTCACTTCCCTCAGTGGGATTTCACCTTCTCTTCTGGAGAAACAGGATGAAAGATGGAGCTCAAGTTTAGGGAATATGACAGAAGCAAAAAATTTTTTCTTAGTTTTAATTGAAAAAGCTCTATTTTACCAGAGATTATTTTCAATTATTTGATGGGTGAAGCACAATGAACTGCTTATTAATTTTTAATGCATGTAATTTGCAAAGCTACTGATTTCCCTAAGTACTGGCTCTGAAAGGAAATTGAGGAGGTTAAATCATTACCATTAAAAAAATTTTTTTAATTCTCTATTATATATTGGCTGGTAGTATTTTTAAATTACTTTAATTCATTTATTTTCCTATTCTAAGTCCTTTTCTTATTTTGCAGGACATCATGTAAACATCAAATCACATTCCATAGATAAAAATCATTTTGATAGTTTAGAAGAACATATGTACAACATAGTTTAATAAAAATTTGGGTGCGACAAAATAAGCCAGGTACTCTTCAAGATGAGGGAACTAATAATTCTATGATTTTGCCTCAAGCAGCTTACAACATGAGTGGGCAGAGAAAGAGGACACCTAACCTTGTATGTCAAGGAAAACATCCCAGAGAGGACTGCTGAGCACAGTGCTGGAGTACAGTACCAGAAGCTGGCTGCAGGAAGACAGGGCAAATGCCTTGTGGGCAAAGGGAACAAGGCAGGCAGTGACATGGGATGTGTGAGGGGCTACCAGGAGTTTGGCATTAGTCCCCCATCAAGTTTGAAGGGAGGCTTCTAGGCTGCAGATGAAGGGGTTAGGGCAGAGGCAACAAAGCATCAGAGGCCCTGAGAGGATTCAATGGGAAAAAAAGGGGACAGGTCAGATCTACACTGTAGGCCTATCACTTTTTGTAGCACTGCACAGGACAGACTTGGGGAAGCAAGACCAAAGCTAGTAGATGGGAAGAAGTCCTCTGCAGGGTCCAGAAGAGAAGTCAGCGAGGCTATAAACGAAGGCTTTTTATCCTGTGCTTTTCTAAATCTCTGTCCAAATTCTGGTCAAAGTTGACAACAGATCTTAAGTTCATTTTTGTTGAGTAAATTACAGGTTTTTTAAATAAAAGACTCTCTTCATGAATATATATTAAGTACCCAAAATGTTCAGGGTATTATAGAAACAATCAAAGCTCCCTGTAGGAACTTACGTGATAAAAGAAACAAGACAAAAAAGAATAAATCAATTCATTCAACAGGCATTTAGTGAGGCCCTCCTGGGCCCTGATGGAGGTCATATTCTAGGGACAGTGCTTTGAAGAATGTAATTTTTACACCCTCCTTTTCTTCCCTAGCCAGTTCAAATGAGCATAGAGGCTCTTCAGCACCAACCAAGTGGGCAATTCTACAAGATGAGCAGGAGGAGCCTGGAGTAAAATAACTAAGAGATTGGGTCAGGGGAAAACTTGCTTGAATGGGACAATAAGAGAACAGGGAAAAATTCCAAAGGATAGCATGGATGGCAGTAAGCCAGGTAGAGGCCTGGAAATGCCTTCAATTCAGCTTGGATTTGAGAGATCAAAGTTGTTATTTAACAACAGTTTCAGTCTTTATAAAAGTAATACTGTAGGAACATGACATGCCTGTTGCAAAACAGAGGGAGAGAAATACAAAGAAGAAAATGAAGATTACACATAGATATAGTATCAATGTGAACATTTTTGTAAATGGCCTTTTCGGCTTTAAATACACCAAGTACACATGCACATAAATAAACATGGGGATTTTTGTGAATATTTATTTTTAACAAAAGTAAGTTACCTGTAGTTTATTACCTGCTTTTTCTATTTAATAAAGGGAATATCTCATGAAAATAAAAATCTACTCATACATCTTACATACACTATGTGCATATACAAAATACACTTATTCAATTCTCCACTAAGGCACATTATTACACTGCATGACAGGTAAAGTGCAGAATGGAAGCAAGCAGCAAGTAAATGACAAAACTAACTTCAGTTGTGGCAGCATTTTGAATATTCTGAAGGTGGAAAGAGGTAAGACATGGGAGCTCACAACATTTTAGTGTTCCAGACATAAGATGAATAATGTCTGAATCTGGAATTCTTTGTGGATGAAGAATTTCCAAAAGGGAGGCAAAAAAAAAAAAGGAAAGAAAAAGAAAAAAAGGGGGAACATTGCAACCCAACACACATTAAACATGAAGCAATTTCAAATCTTCACATCTGTAGAACAGATAGAATGTCAGAGACAGCACTCAGACAACTGAAAACAGTGGGTGGACTGCCAGGGGAAAACCAAGTGCTATTCTAGTGATCATCCACAGCCATGGAGTCCAAGAAGTGACAGAGCTCCCCAAACTGCTCTAACAGACAGTGCACTGAGAGAGTAGGTGGTCTTATGACTTAACATATCCTTGGTCTGGGCCTGTTTCCTCAAATGTTTGGGTGGACTCCATGAGGTTTTTTTGTGAGTTTTCTTTGTGCTTGTCAAAGATCCCTTGGAAGCTGCCAATACTAGGCATTTCCCACTGCAACCAGAATAGCTCTGCTTTCATCTATTTTATATATGGGCTCTCCAAAAAATATTTTATTTGAAAAAATGAAGTTCCACAGCTAAAAAATATTTAAAATCACAGGTTTAAAAAAAATAAGATTCACCCTACATATTATGTGTTAATTACAAAAGTAAAACTGAAAATTGATAACTGAGGGATCTGAAAGCTACCACCTTAACACCTTAAACTTAGCATCATTAACAGTCGGGCAACTGGGTAACGCACATCTCTGTATGATGCGGTCTGAAGACAGAGGTATCAATTATGGAGTATTTAGCTTTAACCTACTTGATGTCCAATTATAGGAAATGCAGGCAGTAGAGAAACAAACAATACCATGAGGAAACAAATCCATGATATGGATGATTTTATGATACAACCGATCTGGTCTCTTCAACATGTCACTATCATAAGGGAAAAAGTATGTGTGTGGAGGTGGAGTGGGGTCAGGGTAAGGAGGTGAGGGAACACCAACTATAAAAAAGGCTCTGAGGATTAAAGATGGTAGTGTGAGAGGCGAGACAGAGGCTTCCTCCTAAAACCGCATATAATATGAAAACATAATTAATACAACTAAACTTGAAAGAGCAACAGGAAGGAGGACTGTGCCAGACTGCATACACCTGGAGAAAAGAGCAGAACTCACGGAACAGGGTAACGTACCAAAGCTGTGGCCCAGCAGAGCCAAAGCCCTTCCCCCACCCCAGCTCACAGACGGGATGAAGAGAAACAGAGCAGGGAGGGAGTGGAGGCCTGGGAATGCTGAATACCTAACTCCAGAGACCTGCTCTGGGAGCCCAAACATTTCATGGTGCTTGCATGGTACTCTCATGATTAGGAGGTTGGAAAGCTAAGACAGGCAGAATTCCTGGAGAGACAGATTCCAGCAGCTAGGGGAAAGCAGGGATCCATATCTGGCTGCTCTGGGACAAAAGAAAGGCAGGAAGTCTGAGAGACTTCCTAACAAGGAAGCCCTCAGCAAGAGGGCTGCTAAAGAGGCAAGGATTGCACAGAGCTTACTGCTAAGGAGAAAGGACAGGTAGACAAAATTGTCTGGGTGCACTCTGCCCAGCAGTTTGGGAGCTTTCATGAACTTCAGTTGCTCCAGCTCCCTGGCTGGCTACACAGCTCCAAGGACCCCATCCAGGATATGCAGCCTACTGTGCCTTTCTCCTGGCGAGCCCCAACTGACTCCCAAACCGGCAAACTCTACTCTGGCGTTAAGCCAGCCAGAGGGAAGATCTGTCTATAGTAGCTACAAATACAAAGCATAGAAGCTTATACCTGTGTGCTCAGCCCACTGGTTCAGGCAGTGGAGACAGGCATAGCAGCTGGGAAGCAGGAAACAGCTCTTTCCTCCCCCCAGGCACCAATGCCACTCCCCTGTGATCCCCCACATTACTTTAGGGGCTGAGTAGCTCCAGAGAGTAGACATTCTGGGCACTAGAGGGCACAATATACAAATATGAAATGCCAAAGGAACTTGGTCCAAAGTAAAATCATTAATACAACTCCTGAGAAAGATTTGAATGACATTGACCTCATGACTCTTCCTGAAGAAAGGGAGTTCAAAATAAAAATCATTAACATGCTCATGGAGGTACAGAAAGATATTCAAGAACTCAGGAATAAATTCCGGTTGGAGATCCAATCATTGAAGAGCACAATGGAGGGTATTAAAAGCAGATTAGATACAGTGGAGGAGATTAATGAAATAGAAAATAGACAAGAGGAAAACAAAGAAGCTGAGGCACAGAGAGAAAAAAGCATCTCTAAGAATGAAAGAATATTGAGAGAACTGTGTGACCAATTCAAACAGAACAACATTTGCATTATAGGGGTACCAGAAGAAGAAGAAGAGAGAAAAAGGGATAGAAAGTGTCTTTGAGGAGGTAATTGCTGAAAACTTCCCCCAATATGGGGAAGGAGATAGTCTCTCAGGTCATGGAAGTGCACAGATCTCCCAATACAAGGGACCCAAGGAAGACAACACCAAGACATATAATAATTAAAATGACAAAGATCAAGGACAAGGACAAGGACAGAGTACTAAAAGCAGCCAAAGAGAGGAAAAAAACATCACCTACAAAGGAAAACCCATCAGGCTATCATCGGACATCTCAGAAGAAACTCTGCAGGCCAGAAGGGAGTGCCATGATATGTTCAATGAAATGAAACTGAAGGGCCTCAAACCAAGAACACTCCTCCTGGCAAGATTATCATTTAAATTTGAAGGAGGGATTAAACAATTTCCAGATAAGCAAAAGCTGAGAGAATTTACCTCCCAAAAACCATCCTTACAGTCTATTTTGGAGGGACTTCTTTAGATGGAAGTGTTCCTAAGGTTTAATAGCTGTCACCAAAGGTAATTAAACCACAGTAAAGAAAGTAGAACAGCTAATTACTAAGCAAAAACAAAATTAAATTAACTATCCCCAAAGTAAATCAAGGAATAGACAAAGAGTACAGAATATGATACCTAATAGATA